GAAATGTCAGAGAAGTAAATAGCTTGTAGAGATTGGACTGGTTACTTTCTTCTTTCCCCCCACCCATTTAGACATTTAGGTACTGGATCTTCACTAATACTGTTCTGTCTCACAGAAGACTTACTTCTCATCCTAACCTGCTGTTTGGTAGGAATAACTGGTGTGCCTCATCCACATAGGTGACCAAAGCCACTGGAGTTGTCTACCGAGAATCCTGAAAGCACTGCAAGAGCCAACAGACTGAAATAGAGATGGCTTTGTGCACAGAAGCACTCCCCAAAAAACAACTAACAAAAGTATTTTAGGGGAGGTTAGATCCTGTCAATACAACAAGCATATGCACACACAATGCATCTTAAGTATCAACTTAATGCCCAAGCTAGTGGTCAGAAAGCTAAAATCCCATGCTGTGAAAGTAATCTTTTGGGTTTTAATAGTATTTCTTTTCCCTAACTGCAAATCTGATAGATCATCTCTAAAGGTATTTTTATCCTCAATTATATCAATCTTCATATGAATTTCTCAAATTCAATGTTAAAAGGGTTTAAGCTTCAGAATGATTTTCACACATTCAGAACTTTCAATAGCAGTTTTTTGAACTTGGCAAACTACTTTATGCTGCAATAACTTTTCCTTGGTTTGGAAACCAGCAGTTTCAACCAAACCAAGTGCAGTATCACCGTGGCTAGTTAACAGTCACAGTATGTTATCAGTGTAGTTTGGGGAGAGGATGTTTTCACATAGCAAACAATATCAGAAGTGGGAAATTACAAAGACTTTTAAACTATTAGGAGTATCTGAAAATAAATACCTTCATGAGGAGATCACGATTAAACTGAAAGTTCAGCTGTATCAAGGTCCCAAAAATTGGGAGAGGGATTGGTCCAGGAGGAAAACGTCTCCGTACTCGTTGCAACTTTAAAAACTGCATAATAATAAGAAATGCAGCCAAGGCTATAAGAACTTGACTTATTGACAACATTTTAACAGCTGCTTTTACCAGCTTGTCTTTATTGAAAATAAGCTATTGAAGCTATTCAAGCTGGTTGCTCAACCAGTTTTTTCGTAAGAGTTTATTTCATATAATTATTCTCCACCCCTAACCCTCCCCTTTATTAATTATCAACCACTCCCTTTGTCCCATTCAATATATTCTCATGCTCAAGCATATTCCATGGATGCACACTCCTCTTTTCATTCAGATTATATTTATTAAACATGTATCACAAAATCTGTAGGAACAGTGTCTTAGAAAACTAGGGCCAAAGTTTTCCAGGCAATGCAGATACACATATGCCTTGTAAATTCTCCATCTAACTTTCCGAGACCGTTGTGGATGGTATGTGCTCCTACAAATACTTCACGAATGCTTTTAGAACAGCAATAGACATACATAAAAATTGGGCATGCAAATATAAGTGGATATTAAATCTTGGAGGTTTTTAAATGTTTTGTATATATTCCAAATGGCAAGGCTGATAAAAACTAAAAGCCAATATTTATCTTGAGATAGATATACAACTATCTAATGCTTAACACAAAAAAGCAAAATTTGTTAGGCTTTTCAATTTAATTGAAAACATAACTTGCTGAATTTCCCCTTCCAATCTTGACGTAAAGGTAGATACCCTGAAAGATATTTTGAGCAATCATCAGAAAGCTTGGCAAATAAATAAAGCATATGCATTTAGAAAGTCCATCTAGTATGAAAGACATTGATTTAAAAAAAAAAAGGGGAAAAAAAAACACATGGGAAAAAGCTACAATAAATTTTGAGCTACAAACAGAACTAAGAGCCCCACCAAGAACTAGTCATGTCATGCTTGTGCCGTACTTGGTAACTGGAGAATAAACACAGTCTGTAGCCAAGGCCTTTGCCAAGCCTCAACACAAGCAGGAGTATAAACCTGCCATCAAGGGAGTTTACAGGCTGGCAATCAGACCCTGAAAGCCATGTGAAAGGGATCCAGGGTGTTGTGTGATCCCACAACAATGACAAACGTATCCTGTGTCACAGACCTAGATCAAAATCCTAATAGATAAATGCTTCCCTGGGAAAACCACCCATCCCCTGAAAGCAAAACCCTTGTAAAAGAAATACTTTCTCACTAATCTTCTGAAAACCTGCCAGGACGACTTGTGCCTCAGCTTGCTGCTTTTAAATGCCCTCTCTTTGGGACAGAAACTGTTTCACAGGGTTTGTGGCTCTGGGACATGAAACACCCTTATAAACAGCCTGGATTTTGCCAGCCCAACTGGGGTAGAAAAAATGAAAAGGCAGGAAGCAGAGCTGAACAAAAAGCAGTTGCAGTCACCACCATGCTGGAGAAGGGAGGGGGGACGAGGTGGCACCTCCGTGCCCCAGCCCTCCTCCTTCCCATGGGAGGTGGCCATTGTGGGAAGCTGCTCTGTGAGGAGGAGCCCAGTTCGTCCCAAGGGCTGCATGACACAGTTGCATAAACCATTCTTCTGTAAGCCAGCAGCCTCAGGTTGTCTCCAGGAGCCAGTCCAGGTGCTTCTTTCTGCAACATTTGCCTGTGACAGCTTGGTTTGCTTCCCCACTGCTCACTCAAAATGTTGGCCACAGCCTTCTCTCTGGGTTGACTAGTTCCTCAGATGGCTTCCCTACCACAGCATGAGTGCCGCATCATCCAACCCCTCTGCCTTCCTCCTTCACACTGGTCAAAGACCAGATTTCTTTCTGGACTCAGTTGGACTTTCTCTGTAACTCCTCCTTACCCAGCATCTCCTCCCTCTTCCTGAGGAACCATGTTAAATTCCCATCTCTCTCTCCACCAGGTAACAACCTAGGACTTAGATTATGTATGCTTTAACATTACTTTTCTATGACAGGCAACAAAGATTCAGTTTAAATTCAAATATTGATCTTAGATCACTTTCTCCAGAGCTATCTTTGCTTCTGCCAGATTTTCAAGCGTGGAACTCTGGAACATTTGGGTCCACCTAATTTTTCCCAGATATTTCTCTAGGATGGCATAGGTCCTTGGACCATGTGTATTAAATACAACAACTCATCCTCAGTGGTGATCATTAAGTAGTAAACTTTTTCAGGCCTTTTAGCAGAATCCAGACATTTCATGACATTATTCTCCTGCTTGTGGAGCTGAAATGGCTGCAATTCATAATGTCATTATCAGCTTTTTATCTTAATACATACAAAGCAATGCTGTTAGGCAACATAATTATGGCTATTCCACAAGTAATTTAAAAATATATAGAATCCTTAAAAAAGACAACTGCATAGTGTAGGAAAGAGAGTAAAAACAGAACGAGGATACAAGAAAGAATCAGAAAGAAGATGGAAGACACTAGAATGAGGAACACCTGTTCTGTGTGTTATAACAGATGTAAGGTGAGATGAGAAGAATAGGTGGAGACATTTCAGTGAGGAAAGCACAAGAAGAAACAGCAGACAGCATAGGCTTAGATGTTATCCAAAAGAAAACTTAGAGGTGGAGGACATAGTATAAGGAAGAAAATGAATGAAGGAATGTGCAGGGGAGTTGAAAATGCAGGTATAAAAAAAGCACATTAAATGGAAATGAACCAGCAAGAAGCTACATTAGGAGACAGGAGGGGGTAAAGAAAAGTTCTTCCCCTCAAGTGTTTTCGTGCATCTGTTCAGACTTGAGCTCTCTACCAAGTCAAAGAAATTAGCTAGAGCTCCCTCCAGAGGCAAATAATAAAGAGATCTTATTTAATGAGGCAATTTCACATGTGGTTGACAATTATCATAGGTACTTCAGCTAGACTCAAAACTGTACGTTTAGCCACTTATAACAGTCCTTCAGGAACAGTGGGGGTGATCTTATTCTGTCTACTAACTTGTGAAATAGAATGCCATCTTCTGGTGGAAGAATAGCCCGGGGTCAGTCTTGACTTAAGAACGAAAATGAAGAGAAAAAAAAAAAAACTATGATAAATGAAAAAATGAGGTATGTTGGAAAGATGGTACAGACTGTACAGGCTGTAGAGGTAATGGAATACTTTGGAGAGGTGAGGCAGACACGGGGGAGAAGAGGAGACATTCAAGAGGCAACTACAGTGTTGCTCAGGTAGGAAAAAAACTTAGTTGTTGACACTTGTTATCTTCAAACCTTACTGATTTTTGAGCTCACTAGGCACTCTAACCAGTGGTGCAGCTGGAGGTTCTCACACTGGAAAAGGAAAATGACTGTGCGTTATTTTATATCTGAGGCATGGATTTCATTTTACTTTATTTGAAGGAAAACAGTATTTACGAGGCTGCTGAGGCTCCATTTTCTTTATATTTACTAAATGCAGCCAGCAGCAGCATTCCTTCAGTGCTACCTGCCAGCTATTCTTTATGATTAGTGGTTTTTAACTTTGGTGCTAAAAGCAAGGAGTTGCTGCTGTCATTGCCTCTCCTCCTGCAATCCATGTAGACACAAAGGAAACATCCCCTATCAGTGCGGAGCTACTGCCAGGGGGATGTTTGCAGTTCCAGCGTGGAGAGGACTTCATGCCAATCACCTACCTGTCTGGACATGCTGCCTTCCAGCAGTGAAAAGGTTTGACCCTCCCACTGACATAATCCTGGAGGGGAAGGAACTGGCAACCCAGGTTTCATCCTGTACACAGATCAGTGATTTCACACACCTCTGCCTGTTAGACTGGAGAGCTTTAAAATACAAGGTAGGCAGGGGTATCTGAAACAAATACAGCTGATCATGACTTCAGTCCCACAGACAGCAGGATCAGCTGATCTGTGTATAAAAATAATCCTTCCTATGCTGGTGTACAGTATCCACTTCACACATCATACAGGAAGGACATACTCCCAGCGCTGTCAAAAAAAATTCCCCTGTTAACTGTCAGTATCTGAATTGCCAAGTCCTGAAGCACCATGGTCATAAAGGGCTTCAAGAAGTCCTCAATACTGTCAAATCTTCTGTTGGGCATGATATGCTAATTCATGCTGACTGATGTGAAGTCAGCTAACTGTGACAGAGAGCCCTTTAAAGAACTGAAAGAATCAATGAAGCTGAATAGATTATTGGAGAATCTGGAGCAAACAACACTAGAAGACCACTTGTCATGAAAAATACATGTTCTCATGTCACTGTCAACCAGCAGGCTCATAAAAAAGAACAATTTATCAGCATTTTTTTTCTGCTCCCTGTTGTCATTTGTCTCCCAGTCCTTGCTCCTCACATGTATTATGAAAAGCTCTCCACACTTGGCTGAAGAAGCTACTCCTCTAATTTCATCTGAAAGGCTGGAATACTATTTGGTTTAGTGGGTGAAACCTGGACTGTCTTGCAATGTGTCAATGTTAGGGTTCTGTACAACAAGCCTGCATAACAACAGACCTAATCAGTCTGAGAGAATGTAATCTTAGATCATATTATCTGCCCCTCTAGAAAGCTTCCTCTAACAGCTTCTTTTAACTCCCACACCCTCTAATATCCTGGGATAGGCTGAAAGACTTCTAAGCCTATCTCCACAAATGCAACTGTGGCTTATGAGAAAGAATGCACAGATCTTTAATCACGAGACTTCAAACGCATAGACTTTGCTTCAAGATATTTCTTGGCAAATCCTCTTTCCAGTTAGCAAGAAATCAGGCCCAATTCTAATTCTTCCCTTAATGTCTTTATTAGTTATGCATCAGGAGAAATTTACCAAGATTTTCCAAGCAGAAAACAAGAATGAAAGATAACTCTTTGTATCTACAATCCTCAGGATCCAACTGTCTGAAAAGCATCTTTCAGGGTAGTGGTTAACCAAATCAAGAGGAAAGCAAAAATCTTAAGACACGCAAACAGGAACTCACATGCAGAAACAATCTTGTACAGTAAGACTTCCCTGAACATGTGGGGCACCATTTCCTACCAGGAATGGCACAGAGCTGGTAGGGAGGTGGCTTCATTGTGCTCCCGAAAACAAACTTTGTATTGAATTCTGTCACCCCTTCTGGAAGGGTGAACCTGAATGCCTGTAACAGGGTAGAAAAGACAATAAAGATCTCCATCCTTGCCAACAGCTCCCCCATACATACACGGTGCCCTGTGAAAGACAGAAAGGCAATCAGCCAAAGGATTTCCATCACACCTCCCTTTCTCACCTGCTTGGGGTTTTGCTTGCAGATCGTCCTTTTCTCTTAACTGACTTTATCATTTAATGATACAGAACTGAAAGGCTGTTTGTATTTCCACCAAAAAATTTAATCTATATTTACAGCAGGTGGCAAGACATCCTAGAAATAAGCACCAGGGCTGCATAGTTTACATTTATGGTCTTGCTAGCACTATGCATTTTGCTGCTACTACTTTGATAACTGGATGTCTCCTCCAAGAGAAAGTGGATCTGTCTTCCAAGAGAAACTTTTCTATATGTCATTCCTTCCCTTTCAATCTTTTCCACGTACAGTTTTCTCTTTCTGGAGATCTTTAAAACAATAGAATGTGTTTATATACTGAATTTGTAGATAGGTGCCTTCCCTGTTATCTTGGGAAATGAATGAAACTCAAGGTGTTGTCCAAGGAGTAAATAAATCCCTGTTCAGTGTATGTACCTATTGAAAATGGTAAGAATACATCTCTGTTTACAAAGTTTCCATCTTCATCCAGAAAGTGGCCTGGGTTGAACTGATCAGGTGTCTCCCATTTTCCAGGATCAAACATCACAGAGTCAATATTTGCTAAAATTACAGTGTTCTGTAAAAAAAGGAGCAGTGGCTTTAGCTCTGTCCTATTGTTCATTCTATGATTCTATGATTGTTCATATTCATCAGATAAGCAAATAATGACAAAGGAGCAAAGAATTTCAGTCCAAATTTAGTCTTTTTTTATTTTTTTTAAATGAGATCAAGCTTTAAAACATCTTTCAAACTTTTGAGAATTTACTTTACTACTTGCTGTCAGTAAGTTCAATAAAATAGTTAGGATTTTGTAATGTTCATATTGTTAACATTTTGGTTTTATTTTTACTATTGCCACTAGGTATTTTTATTACTTATTCAGCTTTTGAGTTACAGAATATCATAAGTAGCAGTTTAATTTTCCAATTTGTACTCAATACTTTCTGCAATACTAGAATTGCTTTGAGCATATCCAGAAAAAAAAAGGAATTAAAATCAAAGTACATGAAAAGCAGAGAATATTTAGAAACCAGTCCTGTTGCAATTTTCAGTAACAAAACTTGGAACTACTTTAGTTTCCCTATAATATTTACAAGATACTGCATCTAAAAGCTTGTGATATGAAAATAATTTCAAATTTGCAAGTTTTCAGTAACTCATTTTCTATTTTAGAATTGCCTCTGTTCATCAGCTGATAAGCTATTTTTGACAAGAGCTAGATCTGAGACTGCTGGAATTTAATACGCTTATTTCCAGTTATCATTCACAAGTTTTCTGTCAACAGAAATAATGATCTAAGAACATATTAATACTTAGGACAAAGTGCAAGTTTCCTTGCAAAATTTGAAGCCTCGGAGATAGTCAAACCTTACAGGCACTGCTAGAACTGATAGGATGCAAGGGTTCACGTCCCCAGTCAGGAAAACCCTCCAAAGCTTGTCTAAATTAATCTAATGTACCCAAGACCTACTGATTTCAGCAACTCTCAATCACAGTTGCTTTTCAACTAAATGACCAATTAAATCAAAAGAAACTGAAAAAGCACAGTGTTTTGGGCATCACTAGCTGAGGTGGCTTCTGCTGTTAAAAAATTATGTTAAATCACTTTTTAAAGCAGCTACAAGAGTACCAGATGTCAGCTATTCAAATATGCAGCACAGTTGTACCTTTGAAAGAGGAAATCCCAGCAGCTTTGTGTCCCTCACGCTCAGTCTGGGAAGTGCAATTAGAATTATACTACTGTACTGCTGGATCTCATGAATTACAGCATTTGTATAGGGCAACTTTTTTCTGTCCTCGTAGCAAATTAAATGGGAACTACCCAGAACAGCATCCAGTTCCTTCTGGACTTTCTCTAATGAGGAATATTCAGCTTTAAATATACACCAAAAAAATCTATAAATGCTAAACTCATAATTTTACAAGTAATATTAACATTCAACAAGATCAAAAAGATATAATATAAGAGTTCCTTCAAATTCCCATACAGATGATCTGAAGAGAATTTGACCCTGAAGTTTTTTCTAGGTTGGACACTCACATACTTTAAAAATAATGGTAGCAGACAAAGTCCTTCTATCAGAATATTTAGGTTCCTGTTACATTCACTGCTCTGAGGTAATCTATAAAAAAACCTTGATTAATATTTATTTTTAGAGGAATGGACTCAACTGGAAAATGAAATATTAATTGTGTATTAAGAGACTTGTTTAGTAACTGACCAAGAATTGTTCTTCATTCAGAACCACATAGATTTTACTTGTCATCTACAGGTGGCCTAATTGCTATTCTGTAATTACCTGCCTTGGGAAGCACTTACACTAATTTTTCGCAAGGATTTTTTTTTTTCCCCCACTTACAGTCTAAGCTGAAATGGTAATTTCTGATAAATTTCTGAGCTGAAATAGTTTAATTAATACTACAGCATTTATCATTGAAATTAGATTGACCCTATGCATCAGGAAACTTGAGACTGTTTTAATACATCCTGACAGGGTGAAAGATAATGTTGTGAAAATTCAGTATATGAAATCCAGTCTCCAATTTTAGGTCTTCTGAAGAGATGTTAGGTAATAACAACAGGAGATCTTTTCTCCTTACCACTTTCACCATTTTCTTCTTGCCAGCTTCCTGCTGTACCTGGCACCCAGCTTAGACTTTCAAATATGAGGACCTTCTAATCCTTTCTATCCTACACACTCTGACTCTTTGTACTTATTTTACTCTGCAAACCTGTACCTTTCTTCTGTGACTATCATTATTAAAACCTTACAGTTTCAAGCCACTCACCCCAATTGTTTGTTTGTTTGTTTTTATATACCTATTTATATGTATATATCTATGTTTGAAGTTTTCAGGTTCATGGAATCGCCACACATATTAGAAACCTCCCATTGTACCAGAACGATTTCGGCTGCAAAGAAGCCAGAGGCACATCAAAGAGTAGCAGTCATGGGTTGAAAAGCATGACCTGAAGACACTCTGTCTTCAGTGGAAATCTAATCATTATTGTCAGTGAAGGGACAATGGTGCCATTTGTCTCATCCAAGACTAGACTTCTCCATCTGATCACATTAATCATACCGTGCATTCTCTATAGATTTCTTAAAAATGAGACTTGAAATGATTGCCCTGTATGTTATAAAAGATACAGCAAGAAACAGATATATGCAGTTCACCTCATTCATACCATAAAAATTAGTTCCTCTATTATTCTTTAAACAAGCTCTACTACTACTCAAACATGTATGATTTCTAATAAGTTGCAGAACTGTTTGGGTGTGCTTACCTTGAATAGCAGGATAAGCCACCATATAGAGCAATGCCCAACGCAAAGTGGTGGCCGTAGTTTCTGTACCTGCCAGAAAGAGGTCAAAAATAACCTGGATCAAGTTTTCTTCATTGTAAGGAGTATCAGCATCTCCTTTAGTCTGCAGGTGAGAATTGGAAAGATCAAGTTACAGCACACAAAAAAAGAAGCAACTCACTTGGCATCACTATCCAAACAGGCGGAGGGAGGAAAGAGAGGCTAGGAAATAAAACTTTTTGAAAAATATGAAGACATTTTCTAGCATTATTCAAGACATTTATCAGTTTATCCTATCCAGATACACATTTTGTTCTTCAGCCACGACAAAGTTACTAATTGTGCATCCTTTCTGCTCCTGCTGCAGATCCCATCATAACAGTCATTTCTAGTTGTACCTTAACCATAGGCAGAGCTGTTATTATTGTGGTTATAGATAATCTACCCATAAATCTACTTACATTATTACTTCATCCTCCTCCTGCCATCTTTTAATGTCATATTGTTAAAATTCGTCTACCTATAAGGTGTGGGTATATTTATATACCCATAAATTGTATACTTCTAAATTTATACTAGACATCATTACAACAGAAGGAGCACTTAAAATCCCCTGTTGTTAGTGGAGTGTAAGAAGAGTTCAGAGATACTCACCTTCTCTATCTCATCCAAATAATAATCAATAAAATCTTGATTTTCATCGGATTTTCTTTTTTCTTTGTGGCTTTCAACTTCCTTTGTTAATAGAGTGTTCACAAAATTTATGCTGGCTGTAGTCTGTTTAAATGATGCTAGGAGATGGTTTGCAAGCCAGGGAAACATTTCATATACCTGTATAAAAGAGATATTTCAGATATGTGGTATTACTAAGTTTGAATCTTAATACAGGCTTTTGGGCACTAGAAAAAAACAAAATTAAAGACTCTGATGACTGCATCTTCACCACTATGTTGAAGGGAGGGTACCTATCCCATGATTCATTAAAGCCTTTCTTAGTCCCATTTTTCCATGGAGCAGAATTTCTCTTAGTTTGATGCTATGAATTTTCCATTTTAATATACAAAGAATAAAATTTCCTCTAGACCCTAATTCTTTGCTAAGCTGAACTTCAGTAGCAAGGACCTCATATAAAATGCGTCTTGGTCTCAGTTTACCCAACACACATACAATTTTTCTCTCTCATCTTTACAAAACCAGATCCAGGCTAACTCCCTTGACACATCTCCTAACTGAAAATAGAAAATACCCAAACTCCAGTTTATTTTTTTGCTGAAAGATATTGAATGCATGGGGATTTTACTCAGATACACCTTCTCATAGATAAGAAACAAACATATCTCATAGGTGTGATATGCAAAACAACTTGATGTAGAAATACTGAGCTGTGTGGACTCCCTACTGTTCATTGTTCTAAACTTATTCACATTCTTGCATTTGTACAATTATAAAACTGCACCTCAGCAGAAAAGAAACAAACCACTTTTTACATTCATTCCATTCCTCTACTTCATTTCCCTTTCTTTTTTTCCCCTTTTATAGATTGTACCATGTCCTTCCAATTTATAGAATTACTGCATCTTAAATTATGTAATAGGTAATAACCCTTGGGCTCACCTCTTTAAATGGCAGCTGCATTACAGAGAGATACCTTCCCACAGACCTATTCAGATTCTTGGCTTGTTATTTCTTCTTGGTCCTACTGCATAATTTTGCTTAAAACTACCTGTCCGCTCACCAAGAAAATCAATTAGTACAGTCCTTCATTAAAGGATTGTACATCACTGTGAAAGCCCTGTGGAGAGCAGGACAGAGTGAAATATCGGGCTAGAATGTTTTTGTTAACTGTGGACACACTGTTCAGAGCTTTAAGAACACCTGGTACAAACACCTACTGAGAGCAGCTTGGAAATAGCTGAGCCTGTGTTTACCCTGATTAGAAGGTAGCTTAGAAATCATTCCACCTGCAATTTCTGGAAGAAAAGAAACTGTGAGTATGTTTTTGGTTCGGTTTGTTGTTTTTTTTTTTTTTTTTAACCCAATGTACCAAGTTAGTTCTCAGATTATCTAGGACCTTGATTACAGCTGTTTCCAGTTGGCAAGAGACAGTGGAAAATCATACAAGATACAAAGCCAGATGAGTTCCAGCAAGTTCTGCAGAAGCAGGCTGCCTTGTACATTGGTAAATTGAGTTCTTGACTGTATGCAGTATTGTGGTTCTCACTCATAAATGGTTAATGATAAAGCTGCCCTTGTTTGAGGCAATCTGTTCCACTGTTCTTGCAGCTGCAAGTCACAGCTTGACACAGAAGCAAGACAGCAATTTTTTCTGACCAGGCAACCAGATGTGAGGTTAGGAACTGCTGTCTTAAAGTTGTCTTATTTGTTGGAGACAAATATCCAACAGCTAATGGAGGGTGACTTCCAGCTTCAGTGTATCACTGTATTCACATCAGGACATGCAGAGGTGGTACAGGTTTTGCTGCCAAAAACTGTAGGAAAAAGCTGCTATTGAGCAATTTTGTTATATGTTACCTTTACACAACACAGTTGTGCTACTGAAGTTTCTAGGAGGTTAGCTAATAGTAGTGAAGGAAGCAGTAAAGACCCATATTACTCTGGACCTAAGTTGACAGTCATAAGATTTCATATAGTGAAGGAAGCCACTCGGTCAGACAGAATCTAAGATAAGCCCATTTCAGAGCTTTTCAGGTATTTTTACCTATATTTTGATATTCAGTTTCAGTTACAGTTTCAAACACTGGAGTTGTACAGGTAATGCTTTTGCAAGAAAATCATTTGTCCCTTTCCTAAAAGTGCAGCAAGGCTGTTTCCACCTCTGTCTGCCAGACATCGGAAATATCTGTGCTATGATGGGGCACAAGAAATTGAAAAAAGTTTTGAACTAGGCATCTGGAAGTACCGTTCTGATGCGTACTCCAGAAATTCCAGGTTTGCTAGTACTTATTTTTAATATAAAATTGACAGGCAAGTTGCCTTTCTCATTGTCTGTCTCTGTAAAGTAAACAAAAAATTTCTCACGAAAAAAGATTTGCTGTTCATAAATGCTGCTATAGTATCAAAGGATTCAATCAAGCAGTGAAATTTTTCATCATCTTCAGAGAAGCAATGTCCAAAAATCACAGAAGAAATGACATTTGAGACAGCACAAACAACAGGTACTGTGGTGCCCAGAGGTTTTCCTGTAAATAAAGTGAACAGCATTCTCCATTAATACTGTTCCTGCTTTTCCCACTGAAAGGAGCTGATAACATTTTATAAACACTTCTGATATTAATTAGATTGTTGGATAGGAAATTTCAATTTATTGCTAGAAGGCATGAATTAAAAGTAACTTCAGACATCTGAAAAATGCTGTTTAAAAAAAAAAGGCAAGACTGTTGGTGGGAATGGAATTAGTAGTAGTCTTAAAAACACCCAGATTTCACAGTACCTTGGTATTAGTAGATGTCATGTTTGCCAATATGCAGGGTACAGAAAGGTCATCTGAGACATAGCAGGAATAAACAGCTGAACTGAAAAGAGAACCACCTTCTCTTCTTTGCTCGTACACTTTACTCCTGAGTGATAGGATAACTGAGCATGCCTATAGATTGACCCTGCTATTCAGCAGCACAATCTGAACAGATTTCCTCTCTTCCTGAGGAGGCTACCACAAGCCGTGCAAGGTGACTTTTTTCCACAACACCTGCCAGAGCAGAGCCCCAGGGTGGCCAAAGCTTTCTGTGTCTTGTGCCTTGTTTTTCTTTTCTGCAGAGGGATGTGAGGTGTTGTATACTTATTTTGTTGCTGTTTGCTGTCACCCTGATTCTGTGACTATGAGTAGTGTAAAAACAAAAAGTAATAACACTAACAGACAGGGACCATGTTAAGTTCATACTGTGGGGATCCACATGTAAAACTTCTGCAAGGAAATGTCTCGTGCAGATCACATAATACAGACTTCTGAGACTCAGCTCTGCATGTACACAAATCCCTTTTTGTAATCAGTTTCAAAAGCTACAGATGCTACCCATTCTTCAGCAACATCATGCACTGCAGAGACCTGCATCCTGAGTCACATACCATTTGTTTTCTGTAAGTACTCCACCAGGTGACAGGCTTCCTCTTGTAGTCGATACTCCTGGTCTTTTTTCCCCACTCCCATCTTCCTCAGTGTTGCAAGTCCAAACCGCCTCTGTTGCTTCCAGAGATGACCATTAGAGAACATAACACCTACGATCATCATGTAGATGATAACTAACTCATAACTAGAATTGTTAATGCTTTATAAATCAATGAATTCGTACAGTTAATACATCAAAGAAGATTATATTTAATGCATTTTTTCAAATTATTAATTATTAATATTGATTAATTAATATTAATATCGATTAGTTCTAATCATATAATTTCTTCCACTTTAAAGCAAGGACTTGGAGGGTCTAAAATCACTTTTCAAAACTAGGGTTAGAACACACAAAAAAAATTAGTGAAAATAATGACCATAAAAATAGTGAAAATAATCACCATGGCTGATAAGACAAAAGATATTGTTTGTTGGCCTTCCAGAAACATCTTCAGCATGGACAGTTAGACCTTCCTTCACTGCCTGGAACCCCTGGAGGACAACTACAGGACTGTTTGAAATCCATAAGGTGAAGACATTACCATGAATTTTGGCCATCTGTAGAACAAAGCAGCATCAGAACAACATGGGTGAGAACCAGTAAGTTTAAATCAAACAAGATGAACCAGGTCTTTTCCCTTTTCAAATGTCCCAGGGGCAATAGACCTTGAGAAGGAAACTACAGCTTGATTCCAGGTTTCTATCTGAAGTCCCACTTACTAAAGATGAAGACGTTCCTAAAATGCCAGACAACCAATATTGCCAATGTCTGTGATGTTATTTATCACATCTTACAATTGAATCTCATTGCAGATGAATTCTTACATGCTTTTAAGAAGAAAACTTTAGCTCATGAGTTTTACATGAAGTAGCAAAGGTGACCGAGGAGGTGGGTCAAGCAGGAATCGTCCTCTCCTTTCTAGCTCAGCTGTGATAGCCTTGTCTCCACAGTGCCATGCACACAGACATCACTGGAAGTAGGCAGGATAGGCCCTTCCGTGGCTGGAGAACTGGGAGCTGGAAAAGTAAAAGGCTGAGGGAAGTGCAACAGTGTGTAAATCAAAGCGGAAGGTCTGTGTGGCAGAGTAGGCTGGGAAGAGTGGGGAGTTGCCAAAACATCCCAAGAAGTGCAGGACCACAGGAGTACAACATTTTGCTGCCTGGCAGCAAACAAAAAGGAACAGATCTGCACATTGAGCTGAAATTTATGGGTCTGTGTTTGCACATTTGTGTTTAATTTTATCTTTGGAAGGACTAATTCATGGCCTTGGTAATCTTGGGATGAGGAATACTACTTCTCAGGTTTGGGAGATCAGAAATAGAAGAAAACACAATGGATGTGCACTGGCTATAATTTTATGTTGTGGAGTCCTACCATTTAGCCTTGAAATACACAACTGGGGAGAAAAGAACTGTCAGGACAGGGAAAAAACAGGGAGAAGGAAGTTTGAGAACAAAGAGTGAAAGTGAGGTCCTATTACTTATATATAATTCAGTGTTAAATATTATATATATGTATGAGGAAGATAAAACTCTAGGATTCAAATTCTAGAAGAGTTGTGCATTACAACTGGACTTAGAAAAGAGTTTGAGCATAGACACACAGTGAATTAGTTTAGCTACTTAAAAGCTCAGTCAGGCTCAGCAGACTGAATTCTCATGTGAAAACCCAACCAAATTGTATGCCAGCAAAAAAAATCTATTCTAAGATCTTTTGATAAGTCCATGGAATAAGTATTTTTTTAAAAAATCATCCTTTCTATACTGGAAACATATTCAGGCAGTAGCTATTTTATGGAATACTTAAAAATTGTAAATGCAACAACAGTCCCAACACAGACATGCACAAAACTGCACAGAATTAAAGACCCTGCTTTAAAATGTATCTTTTTCCTGTGTATAAGACAGGAATTTTATCACCAGTATTGTTTTGCTCATGTGCACATAAGGTTTTAATGACACGTTTCATGGTAAGATGGAAATTTTCATACCAAGAAACAGATATTTGAATGATCCCCACCTATTTTCACATTTATAGAGTTTAAAATAAATCCTTCCCTAGCATTCAAAATGAGATTGCTAAACACTCACGCTTACTTTACGATCAGCTTATGAGTCCATTATTTAATTGCCTGAAAATACATACTTTTTTAAGCACCTCATGATGAATTTTGAAGTTCATCTGCAGCAGATTTCCAAAGAAGGGGTATGGAGTTGGTCCAGGAGGATATCGTCTTCGCATCCGTTGCAATTTCAGAAGCTGCATAAACAGCAGGGACACCACAAAAAATACCAGCACCCCACTTACTGTTAACATTCTGCTTCTGATTTACAAAGCTATGTTGTCTCTGAGAACCTGCTACAGAGATAGAGGGTAGATGCATTTCATGCATTTTATCTTGCTTTGCTGGTACCTCCCCAAAAAAAAAAAAATCAAAACAGATGTTGACGCTTCTGTGTTTCTCAGTCCTTCCCCCTTTATTACTTTATTTTCCCATCCCAGATAATGAAGTGTTCTTATTTTTAAGCATATATGACATCATTGCAGATACAAATCATCTGCTCTTCAGGGGATAAAAATTGCAGGATAATTATAAGCGTCATTGTGCTGTGATGGTTGCTGTGACAAAAGTCCCTGCCCACAGTACTCGTTTCATAAAAAGCCTCTTTCAAGAACAGAGAAATAATTTAAAAAAATTTCCTGAGGGTTGACTACACACCCAAAGCCAGCAGGATTACTGAAAAGTTCAGGCTCATCAGAAGCCGTCCACCACATGCACTGCTCCTTCACTTACCTTATGTTATTGTTTGACTCTGATGTTCTCTGCTATTCCTTTAATATTTTATTTTCCCCCAGGTTCAAATTGGAAACTCTAAGGGAGATGAAAAGGCTTTTTAATTTTGTGCTTAGAGCACATAAACAGAAAAAGACTTTAATGTGTCATTAGGCAACAAGAGTTTGATGGCTATAATGGCATAACACCTAGGTGTCCACATACTCCTTGTTCAGCTGCACAGATAAGTGAGGCTGTAAATTCTTCATGACCAAGTAGAAAGCAAAATTTCTACACCCCCTCGAGCTGCCTCTCAGCTAATTCACACTGTATTGCCTGCAGCAGGATTAAAGATGCCATATAACTGTTTCCCTGAGCTTCTTTCACCAGCACTCTCATGCAACTAAGCAATTCCATTTGGGAGCTGTGGATTGCTTTTCCTTTATGGAGGCAGAGCTTATGCCCCTTGCAAAGGGGATCATGATGGACAATACAGCTTTGGCACTTCTCCAGCACTTGCTTAGGCACAGTGCTAGCTTAGGCTCAGCTCATCTGGCTTAGACAGGAGCATGTGGCACTCTGGGAAGTCACCTAGATGGCTGAGCTGCTCACATGCCAAGTTTACAGAGCTGGCACAGCTAAAAATAAATATTGTGAGGTGTTAAGTGAGTTGGTTCACTCCAGAAGTGGGGCAGAGAGGTAACATTTACAGCGTTGCTGGCCAGCGATTTAATTGAGAGCTGGGATCAAAGTGCAAAACTCAAGTTACCCACTTCAGAAACCACTTGTGTGACTTGTAGTTCCTTCACCTGTGGTGTTGGCCTTCTCCCTGTCTTGTACTACTCCCAACTCTGAATTTAGTATTTTCCAAAGTCTCCTTAGGAGGGGGACGAGTTACAGTTTTAACTGCGGCAGCTGCTACAGGATGACACCCTTAAAAAAATGACCATCCTTCCTGGATATTCTATCTGAGTACGGCAACATGGACAGTGATTTCCTGAGCATTTTTGTCAGGGCAATTGCCCTGGCCCTGGCTGACTGGCTGTTTGGCATCCATGAGATGTGCTTGGCTTACTGGGTTGTGAGACACCACCAGCTGCAGGTGCCCACCTCTTGCACGCAGAGGGGCAGCACTGAGGCTGATATCACAACTTCACCATCCAGAGAGCCCCTACCCATATTCAAGGGCACAGCTGTTGTCCTGCAGATCATCATGCCCCCAGCCCCTCCTGGATAGGTGTTAGCCCAACCATGAGGACCAAGTCCATCGCAAGTCATACTCAAGATCTCTGAGGACAGCCTGCAAAGCCTTTCACATTGGAAAGTGGCAGTGGAGAACTTCAAGAGGATCAGCCCAGGCTCCACATGAGTCCTGAATGGCCTGGTCTCTGCCAGGCTCCATCTGGTTTGTGACCCAGGGCACCTGTGTTACATGGACTGCAAGTCCTATCAGTGCTGCTTTTCCCCACTGTTGTTGCTGTCATTGAGTGAAGAAAAAAGTAACAGATTCCACATACATGTGGAAAGGAGAAGGGATGTGAATGTCTTCACAGCCCCTGAGGCTCACCTGCCTTGCCCACTTGCAGCCCCATCTTCCCTCTGTACCTTCTGAGCAATCCTGGCTGGCCACTCTGCATCTTCCCTGGCTCTCCAGGCTCACTCTGACTTTTCCACACATATTAGCCACATCCTGGTGATTGCACCTCACAGCTAGTCATCAACTGCTTGCATTTAGAAAGGCAGCTGCCAAACAGCTTTGCCATGTCTTTGGGAGATGTTAAAGGGGATACAACTTGCTTTACTCTTCATACAAGATGGTGTTGAACAGAGAAGAGAAGCGTCCTTAGATTCGTGTATTTGCTGGTTTCCATCAGTGAGAACTGAATGCCTGGGGAGGCATTCAGGGCTTAGAGCTGGCTGACAGCTGAGCAGAACACAAAGCTATCCTTCCTACCAGTGAATTCTTCTTATCCAAATTCAGTTTCAGGAATAATCTTCACCTGCTACTCACAAAGCACAGAGCTGCTAGGATGTCTGCCAGGCAAGTGCTAGAGGCAGCTATTCAGGTGGGAGCTCACCCTCCCAGGGTAGTAACGGGGTTGCAGGACATGTTCCCTCCCTCACCTGCCTGCCACCCTGCCCTGAGGAGTGATGCTTGGAAAGTACAGCTTTTTAGATACCATCTGAGAGGGATGAACACCAACAGCTAAAGAGAGATAGGGCAGCAGAAGCATGCAAACAAAGCTTGACCCTTGAAGGGTGTCAACACCTCCCATAACCTGTAGGGTGACATTGTACAGTGTCCTGGATCCATGGCAGTCCCTGGTGAGAGCAGAGGCTCCTCCCCAGGATCAGACCAGCCTTCCCTCTCCTCCTCTTCACTCCTCTTGCATGAGCTCATCAGTGGAGTGTGTGGGGGCACAGCATGGGGGCTCTAGAAGGAAAAATAAACACTCTGTAGGAGCTGCCCTCTCTGCAAGCCACTTGCCAAAACTGGGAGTGGAAAGGGTTCGGCACCCATCACCTTCCCTGTGAAGCTGAAGTACCTGCGTGGTGCCACGTCAGGTCTCTGTGCCTGGCAGTAGGACATGCATGGCCAGGAGAAGTCACAGAAGCAGGATGACGTCCTCTGCTCTCCCCCATTTTCTGAGTGAGGGCAGGTGTCCTGCCAGAGAGAGAGAAGGAGCATCACCGTGGCTGCCCCTTCACTCAGACAAAGAGCTTTGGGTTGTGCTTCTAACAAGCAGTGAGAGCAGCCACAGTCACAGTCCCCCCACAGACCTGAGACCAATGTTTTCATCTCTCCAGGAGCCTCCTGAAGCTAGGCACAGGAAAGCAGCACATTTGCCCAGGCTGGAAGCACACTCCCTGGCACGCAGGGGATGCTGTGGCTGGCCATGGTGGGAAATGAGAAAAAAAATAAATTCACTGGACTAGGTAGAGAATTCTTTAATTTTATACAACACTGATCACTGAACCTCGTCCTAGTGTCAGTTTTGGAAAGATTCACCTCTGTGAACTGTCCGCAGATCAGTCCTCTGGAGGACTCTTTGGTGATCTCAGATCCCCGGGGAGGAAAGTGTTGTCAGGAGCTCCAAGGCATGAGGCAGCTGTGAGCTGCAGTCTTGCTAAGAGCAGAAAGAACAGACAAATAGTTTGTCCCACTAAGACTACAGAGCAGAAGTCTAAGACAGCTTCAGACTTGTGGGTCTATTGAAAAACACAGAGTTAAATTGACCAGATAACTTCTGAGAGAAAATACTTCCAGTGTTAGCTGGTTTCTTGCTTTATCTACCTACTGCAATTCCTTTTGCCTACTACAGTTTTGGGCTTCCCATTTGGGAAATGAAATTCCAATATCAAGCTACTAAGAACAGAAATAACATCATTCAGACCAGCAGCCTTCACCCTGTGGTCTCCAGACTGCAGTGGGTCAACAGACAACCACTAAGGTACAGTGGAAGATAATTAAGAAATACAGATTCATAAATGCTACTTAGCAGCATATAAAAACCTTTTTTCACTTATAGCCTCCTTAAAAAAAATTCCCAGTGAGGTACAAGTCCTTTGTAAAAATTTGTAAAAGGACATTTATCTCCATTGGGAATTTTTTTTAAGAGACTTTAAATGAAAAAAAGATTTAAAGCAATACGGATCCTGTCTGCCTGTTGCTAAACCTTACCTCTATTTGTTCTCTCATACATCCTGTATTTACAGATGCCCAAGATTTGGGGGTTGACACAGCAGACACCCACTACCCAATCACCTCGTTAGACTCATTTCTGCAACATCATCTTTACATTAGTAGAAAAACAGAACCCCAGTTCTGCAGTAGTGCACAGCCCACCCTCTGCTCCCAACAGAATCTACATCAACACAACACAGCACCACAGAGTTAGACAAGGACTAGAGAGCAGATGAGCCACATCAGCTTGATCTGCTTGACTCAATAAGCTTATGTGTCTCTTCTGCCAAGTTCTGAGTAGTTGCAGCAGCAGGAAATGCCAGCTTCAAATCTATGGCTGTCATAAAAGCACCCATTTGAGCCCCTCCCCAGAAGCCTAAGAAAAGAGCACTAAACCTTATGATATCAAGCTCCTCCACACAAAGGAATACATTTTTTTAACACAACAGCACTACATTAAAAGAAAACTCTAACATGTTGGGTAAACAAAGCAGTGACAACTAATCCTTGAAGTATTATTAACTCCCTTTCCCATAGAAACAACTCTTAAAGGCATCACAACAATATATATAAAAAAAAAAGAATAAAAAAAAAAAGCCCAAACATTTTCAGGCTGCCCACTGGTCCATTATCATTTACACCCAACTTTGTTTCACCAGCAGTGGGGCTCCCTTCTGCAACTCTTCAGCAGGGATGAAGAGGGGTTTGCCTTCAATTTCCACCTGAGCCACTGGCCTCATGCTGCAATGAGAGGTGGCTGTAGCTCTGTTTCTTCTAGATTCAAGCTATCATCTCCACGTGGCTCTGGGTTGAATAGCCACATTGGCTGACTCACACCCAGTTGAGGCATCCCTCCACAACTCTGCTCCCCCATGCAGCTATACCTGGGGGCTCTGGCAAAGCCTAGAGCCACCACCTCTTGGAAGGGCACTTCTGTACCCCACTGTAGATTTGAGAATGCTTGGGAGTGAGGGGAAGCCATTCCAACACCCAGCTTTAATGCTCCTTCTCCCTCCAGAAAGATTCCTGTTGAGTTTCTAGTAAGACTAGACACCATAATGATTTTATGATTTTCTATGTTTATTTCATTTGTCATACAGCAGGATAAAAAAAAAAAAAAAGTACAGATTTTCCAGACACAAACTAGAGTATTTTTCAGGACCAGCTTCTTAGGCATGTAGCACAGAAGAATAGATTCACACTGAATTTCAGCTAGGGATGAAAAACATAACAGCTGCAGAAAAGGTCAGCACACTAGCAAACCTGTGGCAATGCTTCTTTCTCCAAGCTGTAATAGCCTGGAACCTAGCGAAGAACTGCACAGATCTTGTATGGATGGGGTTTCATTGTGGCCCCAAAGATGATGTCTGTATTGACTTCCTTAACTCCTTCTGGTTGAGTGAACTTGAACGTTCGCAGCAGGCTGCAGAAGATGATGAAAAGCTCCATCTTTGCCAGTACCTCTCCCAGACACACACGGTGGCCTGCAGAGGGAGAAGGGAAA